TGTTTTTATTTTTTTTATTACAAATTTTCAGTTTGATATTCAAATTTTTTGTTATTTCTTATGATCTTCTCAGTTCAAGCAGTGACGACGAGACATCAGAAAGTGATGAGGACTATTACTAGCAATTCTTATACCGGAAGCTCTTGAGCACCACCATAAAAACGAAAATTATGCTGAAGAAATAATACCCATACTTTGATAAAGAGTTTCTTGATCATTTTAAGGTGTCACCAAAAATTATTATTGAAGATCTTGAAATTGCATTTGAATAATCAGAATATTATCTAAAAAAAAAACGAGATTTTTCCAAAGTACGTCCTAAAAAATACCTTTGCGTATTCGTATTGTATGCAGCCCATGAAGCTGCCCCCTTCCGAGACGTTGGGGTCAGATTTAACATTGCAATAAGTACCCTCCACCTCATTTTTCACAATGTAACCTACTTTTTGGGTTTCAAGTCAAGTGATAACATGACCCGCGGAGAATCTGACGTGATGCAAAAATGCGTTTTGGTTTACTACTCTCACGAATTAATTCCGAACAGTTCTGAGATTGATGCGAGTGCGCAACTAGTTCTGCTTGATTCTAGAATCGTCCCGTATTTACGAACCAAAACGAAGCGGGAGTATTCCAAGGACTCGCTTGGTAAATATGCTTCAAATAGGTACTTGGATTATGTCATGGTGAAATATTTCGACTAACCTCTGTCGCACTTGAAGAGAGTTTTCGCCAGGATTCGTAGTGCCAACCTACACAATAAACAATAAAAAACAGTTATTTTTTTGGTAAAAAATTCATCTATTATATTTTATTTAAAAAATGAGTATGGATATGTATACCTATTCAAAAGCAGAATACGCAATAGTTCGTATAAACATACGTGGTTTTTATCACAAAAATAAACTTAAAAAAAATCGAAATGAAAAGAATAATAGCATAGTCATTTATGGATTCATCGTTTGATCTCCTTTTAAAAACTGAAATTCCTCAACTATTTCGTGTAGGTGCCCAGCGACATAAAGTTGCATTTATGAATACTGTCATGGAAAGTTTTGTATGGCTAATTTGCGCCTAGTCTACCGAGCTGATTTATTCAGGATTACTAAATAAAAATATGTCCGACATAGAAGATTTTCCTATTTTCCAGTCCGACGCGAGAAAATTATCGGTTTCACGAAGCCAAAAAATTAATGAATAACTGTCGGACAAAAAAAGAATCATGTATGTAAGAGAAGTAGTCGACATGTAATATAGGTGTCCGACAAATATATCGCGACCAATTTGATGTCCGACAAAAAACACCAATAATGGTGGCACTTATTTGTTATTAATTATTATTGTTCATCCACAATTTTCTGACTTAAGATTCGTTGGGCATCTCATGTCATGTCAAAAATATTCGTATCAAAAGAAATTTCAGATAAAATTACTAACCTTGTTTAAAACGGCGGTAAAAGTAGAGTTTTGGGATGCACTATTTGAACGGAAATATTTCGCGCCCTGATTCTACGTCATAGCTGCTGTATTTAAGTATGAATTAAATAAAACCTACGTCCGATATTCGACACACACTGACTCTTTAGTGCAAAAAAGACAGATATATAAGCGTCTCTCGGGTATTATTACATTTAGGTGCACCCTCAACATAACCCCACTTTTTGAGAGAATTCTATTTGTCAATCAGTGCGCACTGAGTTTATCGGCATCTTTTTCTAAAAGCATGTAAAATATAAGGACACGCTATTGGACATACATAACAGTTATGACGTAATTTCCTGGCGGTAAATTACAACGTTTAAAATAAGTAAAAATTTGTTATTTTTTTTTCACCTATATTTTTGTTTTCTAAAATCAAAGAATCATCAACAATTGTTTATTTTGTTATGAAGATTAATAAAAAAAATATTTCAAAAAATTGTCCACTACCCTATTGCTCAAAAGCTATTCCAGCTATCAAACTCAGTTTTGCACATGTTTATAGATTATTTTAATGCTGTTTCCAATGGTATATAATCTAATTCAATTTGTTTAAGATTTACCAAAGATATGGGCAAATTGTTCAAGACCATATCAAGATTTTGAAAATTATCCAGAGCCAAAAATAGGATTTTGTTTTTGTTTCTGCTTAAAATGGCCATTAAGATTGACGTCAGGGCTGTTTTCCACTAACTTTGACCCGCTCTATCGATAAATACAGTCAAAATTGAGCAAAACTGACAAATAAAAAAAACGAGTTTTTCATAGGGGTGGTTGAATAGGGAACTTGACAAAAAATTTAAACATGAAAATATTACTACAAATCATAAGAATATATTATGTTAAAACATATATCAGCGAAAAAAACAATTTTTTTTGTCGCAAACGGCTGCAATAAGGAATTAAAAATGCGGATACTGGGTCGTGACGTCATGATCTGTCAGTGTCTGTCAGCAACCGTCCATCATACCGTGAGTTCGTCTTGAAACACTGAGCGCTCGGAGCATTTTCCGTCTTTTTTCCTTATGATGAACAGGGATAAAAGAACAAAACAGCAGCTCCGAGCGTTTACTTAGCTTTTTGATTAGCTCAACATTATATAAATAAAACGATATACCTATCAATTATGACCGAAGAAGGAAATTCCAAAGGCCAATCCGACAATCTGTAATTTGTGATATGTTTAGGTATGGTAGCAAAAGTAAGTATGTGCGAATCTTTTTTCCATTATAACTTCAAAATTCACAACTCGCCGCAACACAAAAGTACCTACAACAAAAAAAACAAATAACGGTGGAAAATGTGGAAATCAACCAAATTAAATACAATGAAGTATAACGTTTGGCGACAAGGTGACGCAAAATCATACTACGTGACGTCATCTATATTCGCGCGCATTTAAGGTCGTTTGAAATGCTTTTAAAACTTGCGAAACTTTAAACATTTTTCACCAAGTTATTATTGAGTTTTAGGGAATTATATTTGGGGAATACTCTTTTAAGGCATAAATAAATGATTTAAATAATTGTATAGTTCCCTATTCTGATACCAAAATATTCACACCTTAATTGCTCGGTAACCGTTAAGCAAATAGCATCGAAGTTTCAAGAATTTGTAACTTCTATTAAGTTCTAAATGGCCTATAATTTACAATATTTCCAGATTCATAGTTTTTGAGCAAATTGAGTTTGAGGTTTTTGCTAAAATTTAGACTAAAAGTCAAATTTGAGGCTCAATTGCTCGAAAACTATTTGAGGTATTAAACTCAGTTTTGCACAGATTTATAGAGAATTGAATACTCTTCCCAACGGTATATAATTTATTCCAACTTGCTCAAAATTTACCAAAGAAATTGGCAATTGTTCATGACCATGTCAAGATGTTGATTGATAAAACCTTCATTCTGTGAAAATTTCAGCTTGAAACTCCGACGCGCCCACAAGAGACAAAATATATTATAAGGAGCACTCTACTATTTGCGTGAACTATTAGATTGGAATTGTAGTGGAGAATCCAATAAATGCTTTAATAAATGCAAATCTTTGATAAAGGAACCTAATATTTTAACTTGCGTTGAATATAATTTTTGGAGTTTTTATCATCGTCCATTAGAGCCTACATATTTAAATCCAAGAGAGGGAATTCCCATTTTGGCAGCAGCTCGAAAACTGAGCTGGGGATTTTTATCATCCTAATTATGATGTAAGTTTTAAACGGGGCTTCCATATTGCACATACCGATGGGTTATCTTTATCACGGTCACCACTGTTGAATACTGACGATTAGAGTGAGGCAGAGGTAAATTATTTTTCAGTATTGAATGACGAACGTCTTTGCACCCTAGATATTGCTGCTTCGTCGAACAGGGACTCAGTATTTTCAATAATTGAAAAATATATCTTGTCTGGCTAGCCGGATTTTGGTTAAAATTATTCACTGACTCCCTACTGGATTAGGCGAACTGAATTAACTATTGGCAATGATTGTCTCCTCTGGGAAAGAATAGTAATCATTTCAGACTTATTGTGCTCCAAAGTCTTCAGATTCTTACATGAACATCATCCAGGTGTTGTAAGACGTGAAATGTTGGCAAGGAGTCTAGTATAGGGTGGCCTAAACTTGATGATCATTTGGAGTCAAATATACTTTGAATTTTTTAGCCCAATATAAGTTTTCGTTTTCGTATCATTTAGTTAGCATCTTATATCAATATGGTGGGACCGCATTTAGGTTGATTTGTGATGAAAAAAGTATATAATTTTTGAATAATATTTTATACCTTTTCTAAGTGGGCAGACAATGAAGTAATCATCAATGAATTGCGTACGATTTTGGCCAATTTTGGCAAACCTCAAAAATTGGTTTCAGACAATGAATCACAGCTCATTTCAGAGGTATTTGAAAGTTTTGCTTCAAAAATACTATCAAAACCGGCATTGAAACAAGCATTGCTTACACTAGAACTGAAAAATAATGCAGAATTAACCGATCCAGCATAAGCTTGATAATCTTTTGTTTGCGTATCGTAACAAACAACAACCGGTAAAATTCCAGCTAGGTTGCTTCTCTACCGTAAATGGCGTACTAGATTAGCTATGGCAAAAAAAAAATTTGGAAACAATAAATAAATTTAAACCAATTATGTCATTTGAAAAAGAATCCATTATACCGTTAACACTGAAATGGGAGAAGGAGGCAAGTTGATTGAAGGTACTGTCATAGATATAGTTAGCAATTATACATATATGATTTTTATTTATGCATACAATGCAATTAAGTAAACAAAGTGTAAATAAAAATTATATTATTTTGTAGATCTAAGTAAAGTTATACGACAATCACATCTTTTAATTATAAATAAAAAAAAATTGCATTGTTAGCCCTTAGAACCTAAGTAGGTACCTACCTAGTTTTCAGGATTCGCAGTGCTCTACACAATAAATAATAAAAAAACGTTTTTTTACTGATAAAAATGGGTTTATTACATTTTTTATAAAAAACGATTATGTTTATTGGTGTCTACTCAAAAGTAGAATACCCAATGGTGCGTCTTGAAATGCGTACCATTTATCACAAAAATAAACCAACATAAAAAATTAAAACGAAAACAATATTCAAAGATTAGATTAGAACCGACATATTTCGCACAGAAATTCACCAGATCCTGGATACTGTGTGCAGTCCTGATGCCACCACCGTGTACAAGTATCGCACTGAATCCAAGTCGAATCATTGTCAATTTCACTGCATGAAGGGCACCAAATATGGTTAATGTTGGAGGAGATTATCATTTTCCCTTTTAATAGCCTTTTTTTAATTATTGCTCTATCAGTGTGTATTCCCGAATCAACTTTTTTGGCTGGTTTCAATGCCAAGAGCTCCATCATGTCAATCACACTTTTAGGTTTAGGCGGCAACTGGATTACGGGTTCAATTTCGCTCTCTTCTGTACTACGCTGAATACCGCTCGGCCCCGCAATAGGAGAAGTATCTCTCACTATGGAACGATGTGGACGGCGGCGGCTCATATGGTACCGGCGGATTGGTCTTGCAATGGTCCTGGTGCGGCTTTGTCTTGCAATTTGGGGTCTTGCACTTTGAGTTCCTGCACTTTGAGTTCCTGCACTTTGAGGTCTGGCAATACGCTCAATAGCGCTCGACAATGCAATCGGTGAAATACCACTTAGAGCTGGAAAATGCTGAGTACTGCTCGGTTCTTGAACAAGCTTATCACTGCCTGATCCTACAATAGACTGATCTGGTTGCTCTGGTACCTTTTCCATGTTATTTTTTGATCAAAGGAGCACTTCTTAAGACAAACTGGAAATTATTTGCCAAAGTATTGACAGTGACATATTTTGACAATTACACATTAATAGTCGCGTTCTGTTAATAGTCGCGTTCTGTAATACCGACCTCTGGATTTAAAAAAAGTGTTGCCTGGCATTCGCATACATAGCATGAATTTGTTTTCTACCACGCAACGTACGATTCTTATTCAAGATTGGTAGGCGGTCGTTACATTTCATTAATAATTAATCTACTTCAGAAATCAGAAGTATTACAGGACTCAGGAAATTTAACTTGAACTGTAAAAGATATCTAGCCAGGAATGTGCACTGTTTTAAATCTTTATTATTGTGAAAAACGCAACTCTATAATGGTAGAAGTAATTGTGTGAATGTGGAAACGTTACTGAGATTTATACAGGGTGGAATTTTTAAATGGAATAAATTCAGTATCAGAAAATCTGTTTATTTTCTGGAAAAATTTAAAGAAAAAACGGTTACCTTTATTTTAAGTTTGGCACATTTTTTCGGCCTTTCCATGGAATTTACCTCTTTCTTAAGGGTAGAAACCACCCTCAACTTTTTTTTTCGAATGTAAAGATATGCATTGTGATTGTATACAGGGTGTCAATTTGAAAACTTCCCACCCCTATTATCCCGGAGCAGACAAATTTTCGAAAAAATCCCTGAAACACGTCAACTTTAATTTGAAGGGGGATGAGTTTATGCAAAGTTCACCTTCCCCCTTTCAACCCCCTAGCCCCCAGAGCCACCCCCTAGAAAATTTTAAATAGGAAGCGGGGTCAAGTGATACATCATTTTGGAGGGTTTTTAATTCCATACATTTTAGTAAAAAAAATTTAATCCTGAGCTCAACTGTTTTGGAAATATTGACAGTTGAAAATTGACTTTTTTGCAACTTTGACAGGCTGTAAAACCTAAACGGTTAATTTTAGAGGAGAACCGATCTTACATTCTCTCTTAGATTTTTATAAACTATCATTTGACAGCAACTTCGAATTTAATCCAAAATTTCGGTTGAAAATTTAATATCCGGTTAAATTCAAAAATGGTGTCAAATGATAGTTTATGAAAATCTAAGATAAAAATGTAAGATCGGTTTTTCTCTAAAATAAACCGTTTAGGTTTTACAGCCTGTCAAAGTAGCAAAAAAGTCAATTTTCAACTGTCAATATTTCCAAAACAGTTGAACTTAGGGACTAAAATTTAGTACCAAAATGTATGGAATTAAAGACCCTGCTTCCCATTTGAAATTTTCTAGGGGGTGGCTCTGGGGGCTGGGGGGTTGAAAGGGGGGAGGTGAATTTTGCATAAAAACTCATCCCCAATTAAATTATAGTTGACGTGTTTCAGGGATTTTTTCGAAAATTTTTCTACTCCGAGATAATAGGGGTGGGAAGTTTTCAAATTGACACCCTGTATGCGCATGTGATGGTATATGCTCGTTGGAATGAGCATAAAAAAAGATATATGGCCCATTATTTACTTATGCATTTCGGTGAAATAGCTATGTAATTATTTTTGTCGTTAACACACTATTTTCGGGCTGAGAATTCGAGTATCAGGCATCAAATAGTGTGTTAACGTCAGAAATAATTATATAACGTTACAAATGGGGCTTGTTTCGCATTAGGGTTCTACCAAGAAAAAATGGTGAAGATATTATTCAACAATTTTAACTGTAAAAAAAATTGTGTGGAAAAATATGTCTTTATTTTTTTCTCGCTTTCTAGAGTACACTTTCTGCACGCTCGTAGGTGAAATTGCTAACTTTATCCATGACAGACTAATGACTCGATGACTTGGTTCAAATGTACTTGTTGATGTTTCCTAATTTTCTTCTAATATAGATAGTCTAGCACGTGGTTTACCGCAAACAAACAGCTGAAATTTTACCGTTTGCGGTGGAGCACAATTGAGCTGTGGTCTATTATCTGGAACCAATTCTTCCGGTATGCCAAAATTAGCAAAGGGTACTCATAGGTACGCAATTCATTAATTTTTGCATTTGAGTTATTGAAGGCATGTATTTGATGTATGCTTATTTATAAAAGGCATCAATAATAATTATTAAAAAACTAGGTCCATTTTTTCATCGCAAAATCAATACCTATGCATTCGCTAATAATAACAATTATTGAATTTTGTACTAGAATTCCAATCTTAATTTTTTTATCAGTTAATAAATAATAATAATATTAAAATTTTTGTGTCCTGCCTTTAAAAATTTAAAATGAACATTTACATAAAGTTTACCTAAAACACTGATGCCATTCATTGAAAATACACTGGTCAAAACGAAGGAGCCACTTCAGTAATTTAATATAGGTAATTTCTTTATAGTATTTAAAAGAAAATCGTCTTTTTCCCAGTATAGACACGCAGTTCCATATGAAACCAAAAAGGTTGTTTCTATAACGGTTTGTTTACTTATTCGATAAATTCTTCTTCTTCTTCTTCTTTGAATTTTGTGAGCTCGAGTCTTAGACCACCGCCCAATCTGGTTTCACTATGGAAGATGTACTAGTTAGTACGTCTGAGTGATACCCATGTCTTCCATAATGTTGTCCATTTTCCTCCATTTTCACACTAGGATTTAGGACAATAACAGAATACCATCTTGTTCATCGATCCTCACTCGATTCTTGAATAATATATACATTCCTCCTCTCCTTGTTTCTCAAATGTATTCTCTTCATTTTACCTACTTGAAGTAAATAGGGGTTAGGTACACGAGAAGCGATAGTCGCAACACAAGTGCTTGTCCAAAACTGCTACGATCAGAGAAAGGATGTGTGCCTATGTTTCATAGATTACGAAAAGGCATTCGACCGCGTACAATTAACACCACAAATTAATGCAGCTCTTCAATAAGCTTGATGTAGACCAGGTGGCCGATCCTCGGGCCAGGGAGTAGAGCTTCCCGATAGAACGAATGTTTTGTCCTTATCAACGTAATCGAAAAGTAAACGAGAATGATAAAGACGAAAATTTTGTTCTCTCGGGAAGTTTCACTCCCTGGCTCGAGGATCGGCCTGCAGAAAGACATTAGATGCATCGAAAACCTATACTGAAACCAAACAGCGCAAATCAAAGTAAGCAATAATATGTCCAACATCATACAGATTAGAAGAGGGGTGCGACTGGGATGTGTGCTGTCTCCGGTGCTGTTCAACTTATATTCGGAAGCGCTTTTTTCAGGAGGCTTTGGGAAACGTGGAAATGGGATTCAAAGTTAATGAGTGTAGATTAACAATATCCGCTATGCTGACGATACGGTCTTAATTGCATACACGACCTACAACAAATAGTTAACAAGGTGGGAGAACAAAGCAAATCAATGGGCTTAAATATCAACACCAAAAAAACAAAGTTTATGATTATCTCTAGAAACCCAAATATGTTTGAAAACTCCACCATAATATTTAACGCAAGGCCCATAGAGAGAGTGGATAAATTCAAGTGCTTGGGCGTCTGGCTTTTCGAAGACTGGACATCAGACAAGGAAATAAAATGTCGCATCGAGCAAGCTCGACAGGCATTCTTGAGGTTTCGAAGAGTGCTTACCTGTTCCGATCTTGACCTTAGCCTAAGACTCAGATTCATTAAATGCGTTTGGTCAGTGATTCTTTACGCGGTATGGAAGGTTGGACATTAAAGGTGATTGCAATTAACAAATTAAAGGCTTTCGAGATGTGGCTATATCGCAGAATCCTTAAGATACCTTGGACGGCTAGACTAACAAACGAAGAAGTCCTAAGTCGTGTCAACAAACAACGTGAACTGTTTGAATTGATCAAAAAGAGAAGAACGGCATATCTGGAACATATAATGCGAAACCCGAAATACCAATTCTTGCACTTGTTGATCGATGGCAAAATCGATGGCCGGAGAGGAATCGGAAAAAAGAAAACGTCTTGGCTGCCAAATATCAGACAGTGGACAGGGCTACATGATGTACTGTCGTTAATACATACCGCAAGGAATAGAGAAGCAATGGAAACTGTTATCTCAAATATCCATTAGTGGATACGCATTGGAAGAAGAACAAGAAGTAAGTATCCTTTTTTTTCACAGCGTTTGCATGAGTCCTGATATTTACATTTACTAGTAGGTATATACCTGTTTTTTCCACAATACTTGCAACTTTCCCTAGAGCTTCCTCATTATTGAGCTCGCTACAATTTCCAAATCCTCCATACCCTTAATTTCTTTTATACTCTGGTTCTTTTCTAGTGCAATTAACTTCTTTGGCTTGCATTTTTTTGAACTATTTTTCTACTGAGAAACTCCTATTTCTGATTGAAATTTCTTTATGAATTTTTCCACTTATTAATCCTACTATAAATCTGTATCCTAAAGTTTGTTGGAGAAAATTCCCAAATTTGCTAGATATTGCTATTTTTCTTCTTAGCTGAATAGCATAGTCGTTTATAGATTCATTACCTTTTTGATCCCGTTTGAAAACTGAAATCTCTCAAATATTTCTAACCTTGCAAGTCGGAAGTAAGCTGACAACAGTTTCTCGATTTTGTCAAAAGTAAGATTTTCAGGTTCTATAAGCATAGAAAGATTACTCAAAATATTATAGATCTTAGAACCTGAGTAGTTTCCAACTCTAGTCTCAAAAAGTGGATATGGCAGTTCAATGGAGAAGATAGGAAAAAAAAATATCGCCTTTACTGCTGATGGAAACGGCCTATATCACTTTAATGCCGTTGAGATAATATAATGTACCTCCCACATTTGAAAAACTGATGGAGTGAATTCTCCAAGGACTCGCTTGGGAGACATGCTTGGAATACTTGGATTATGTCATCGTGATAGGCAAAGATTTCGACTAAACTTTGTCGCACTTGAAGAGAGTTTTCACCAGGATTAGTAGTGCCAACCTACATAATAAACAATAAAAAACAATTTTTTTTTGGTAAAAAATGCCGTTTATTAATTCAATTACCTATATTATAAATAAA